TTAATAACTAATATTTATGAATATTAGCAATATTTATTTATAATTAATAATAACAAATAATAGTTAATATTAATTAAGGTTATAATTGGAAAAAGTGATAATAAGTTACATTTCAATATGCTAGTTTATGTACATCCAAATATGTATCCGTAAAATAATGTAGCTTATTTTTGCCAAACAATGTCTTAGTAGTTTCATTTGTTAATGACAATAATAAATTAAGGCTACCAGCTAGTGATGGTCAAATCGGCATAGCCCGGCTTAGGACCGTCGAAGGACCGGTTGGGGTTTCTGGCAGTTTTGTGGGACTGGTTATGGAAAATATCGTGAAAATAAAATAAGAAAAATTCATATGTGAATCCATGAAAAAACCCTTTTTTTAAAATAATATGTGAACCAACGTTACAGATGATTATATGCACATTTAAATGACTTTTTTTAACAAATTCATATATAAACTTTATTTTCTTAATATTTTACGATATTTAATCTTTTTATTTAAATCTCTCACATAACATATAATAACATAAGTAAATATTCATGTCACAAACATTTTTCCGTACATATATACATGACTAAGGGGTCGTTTACCAAACGCTTGTCCGGGTAAGTGCTTATCAAGTACGTTACCTCACCAAATGAATATGGTAAGAACCAAGAATCTTACCCGATAAGAACGAAACAATGACCAAGAGTCTTACCCATTAAGTGAGGGCAACGACTCTTACCACGGTAAGCACTTACCGAGAAAATTGTTGCATACGATGTTGTTTTGATAGACTAAATCCTTATCCGGTAAGTAAATAATAGTATTAAATTTTACCGATAAACACTTACTGGGTAAGTATTTGGTAAACGCCCCATAAGATAACAAATAACGTATAACAAATGTATCATAAAAGAAATATTTATTTTAAATTATAAAATAATTTATTTATTTTTGTTTATATAGATTTTATATGTTATACGATTTTAGATCTAAAAACCATCTTTATACATCATCTATTATTCTTCGGTATCTATATTACATTATAAATCAGATTTATCAAAAGTCTTAAAAATAATTTTTAATGCATAAAGTATTATACATTTATGCATAAAGTCTTAAAAACAACTCATAATGCATTAAGTACTACTATTTTATGTATTTAGTCTTAAAATCTTTTAATCTACTATTAAAATAACATATAGTGCAAGTTACCAATGCACATTTTTTTTATGTTCTCAATATACTTTTGACACATTTCACTCATGTCATCACCCTCTCATACCTCCATGTCTTCTCCTCATCCCCCAAGTTGAGATTCAAACTGATATTCACCATGACTTATTAAAAGTTACCTCATTCATCTCTCATCCAATTGCTCTAGAACTCTTGGTCTCGCTATCGATCTCTTGATTCTCTGCTCTTGGTGTAAACTGAACACATTTGTGGAGCCGTTTAAATATGTTGGATTTTAAACTGTTATACAATTTTTTTCATCGATAGACTGTCATTGGAACCATAACTCTTATTTATTCAAATTGTATTAATATATAAAGACCAAGTGTAATTTATATCATCGTTAAATCTTCTCTATTAAAACCAATGAAACTTCAAAATCGTTAACATTCACGGCTCCCGCCGCATTGCACAGGTACACAACTAGTATATCTATAATTGGATAAAAATTGCATGTCTTAATGGGTAACGAGAGAATTAGATGTTCGCTGCTTGAAACAACCCCTTTTGCTTGGGTACAGTGTTAATATGAAATCAGGGCTTTCTGGATTGATTTATAGAAGCATCTTTTCGATCTCTTTTGTCTTTTTCCTTAAATTTAGATTTAAGTTCTTTTTTTTTTACCAGTAAAGAAAAACGAAATATCATAAAAAGACTAGCAAGACGCTAACAAAGAGAAAGTACAGGCAAAAAACAAGACATGAAGGAGTTACACCACTCTATCCAACTATTTAACAAAATACCTTTCGGCACCCTATTTAGATTTTAGTTCTGTATTTATACTTGTTTTATTACATGGCTTTTGTATCAGCAATTTTATGAATAAATTATATTATTTTTTTTTCTTAATGATTTTTGTGAATAAGTTATATTATTCTTTTCCTTAATGATTTTGTGTTCAAGAAACTTTCGGGGGTTGATGTTGTTGTTATTAGAGCATTTTCAACAGTTATGCTATATATATATATATATATATATATATATATTTATTTTAACATACATAATAATATAACTGTTGGAGCAAAATAATTTGTTAAAATCCATTTTTTTTTTCTATAATACCAAAGTTCGATTCGACTCAATCGGAAACTCGATTACTTTTTTTGAATCGAGCTGAGCCAAGTTATTCGAGCATACACTTTTTCGAGCAAAACATGTTTGTATGTTTAGGGACGGACCTAGGTTGTTTTTGTGATGGCACGTACCACCGTTTCCTTCTTCCATCACAGTGTAAAAATTATAGGCTTGTGAAATTTGTCACATGATATAAATTTGTTGTGTGTCACTGGGGTTTTCTTTAACTATAATGAAGATACATTTTTCTGTTGATTGAGTTGGTTTGCAAGACTTTTTTTTTCCCTTCAGATTTGAGTTCAAATCTAAAGTTGTTTTTTTTATAACTACAATGATACAACACGTGATGTAGTAAAATTAAATTACAAGAAGGTTCGATTGTTAATTTCTTTTAAGTTTTTATTTCAGGCAAAATTAAAATTGTTCGAATTAAATTACAATGATGGTGCCTGATTGGTTTGAGCTTGACTCAAAAGGTCAAAAGTAGAGGAGGTCTCATGTTTAAATCCAATAAGAAATAAAAATCTCCTTGTGGTCATAAAGGTTCAAATGCGGTGACTACGGGCTATCTGCAAAACAGGTGGTCACACTGTGATTAGTCGGCTCGTATAGCGGGTTAGATATCCAGGTTAATAAAAAAAAATGTTCGAATTGTGTCCCTAAAAAAACAGGGTCACCTTACGCCCTTCAAACGATAACCAACCTTGCATTGAAATAATCCACTAAAGAGGGGGTATATAACATCAAAGAAAGAAAAAAAAAATTAGGATCGATCAGACCTGATAGATAAATGATCAACTTACCACCCTTCCTTTCAGAGGAATTCAATAAAAAAAATATTTTTTATTCTTAATTAATTGTTTCTGATTCATCGGATCTTATCTCTTTCGAAAAAAATCAATAAAAAATTAAAATCTTTTGTAGCAAACAATTTATTAAAATAAATAAATTTGGACTTACTAATGTCGATATTAAGTAGCAGTCAAAATTTTGTATTATTTTTTTATGATTGATTAAGGGGTGTTTGAGATTGTTTATTTGAAACAATTTATATTTTTTTATAAAAATACTTATTAACTTATTATAAATTAGAAAATTTTAATTTTTTCAAAAACTAATTATTACCAATTTGACACCGATATAAATTGTTTCCAAACCCGTTGATAAGTTCTTTTTGGAAGCTATCTTCCTAAAATTAGAACAAAAGCCCGATAATAACGGTTTCGAGGATGGAGAATCGAGATTCGCCATTGATATTTAGAGCATGATTCCGTCCGAGAGAGAGGAGGGAGAGAATCGACGAAAAATTTCAGTTTTTGTTGTTTATTTTTTGGAACAACTCAAAGGAAGAATTTGTGTTACGGATCGTGACAGATCGAGCACGTCAACCTCGTATATATGTAAGATTTTGATCTGCCATTTTTGTTTTTCCGCAATCTGCTATGAATTTTTGCATCAATTCTCTATAGAATCGTGCAGTTCATCATTATTACCTTTTGGTTTTATAACCTGCATGCATCATATTATGATTCTGTGCTGATTTTGTAAATATGAGCTTCTGTTGAAATATGCTATTCCTGCATTTTAGGGTTTCTTTCTTCATCCCCGATTACTTATGCGGACAAGGATTGGAACTTGAAGAGTTCCACATACAGTATTTTGATTTATTTATTTATTCTGATACATTGCATGGTTGCATAATTTTCTCGGAAATTGACTGCAGGTTTAAGATATTCGAAACATATCTGTAATGCCGAATCAAATGGAATTATATTTGATCGTCCCAGGACTTATGATTAACAGAGGATCACTGTTGCTGATTTTTGTTTTTCCGTTTCGTAGTTTCACCTCAGATAGAGTTCGTGGAGACATAGGACTAGCTGGGATTAAGGAGTTGTGGATAATTAGGCATGGGAGGTGTGGAAAGGTAGAGGATATGTTGGGGGAGGGTTAGAGCAAAGATGGAATTTCAAGCGATACATCATTTGACTATAATAAAAAAAATATAGGGAAATTTTTAAATGATGGCTCCATTTGACTGTAAGAAACAAAGAGAGGGAAATTTTCCAAATGGTGGCACCATTAAACTAAGAAAATGACATTAACAGGATTCAAACTCGGGTTTGGGGTGGAAAACTTTGTTTTCATTGTAGATCCAAAATATATACGGTGACACTTTTTAGGACCATAATTTTTTTTACACTATGATGGATGAACAATATGGTGGCACGGACCACCATATGCTCTAAATTGGGTGCATCCCTGGGTTAGAGGGTCGACAACTAAGTATAAGGGCGGATCCATTGGTTGAATGACCCTTTCAAGATTTTTTTTTAAATTCATGTTTCTCACAAGTTTTAGAATGTCACTTTCGTCACGTACAATGTCAAGGAACTTGTTAGAAAAGATAGAAGGTTATGCCACTAATAACATTTTCATGTAAGTTTATTGAGTAATGTAGTCTATATCAAGGCCTCGGGATGGTCAAGGAGGTATTAAAGCCGTAGGTTGGGGGAGGGTTAGAGAGTCGGACGCTACTTTGTCTTTAGTTAGTTTAGTGGTTTCAAACCTTATCGTTGCCTTTTCTTCTTCTTTTGTAAACCTCATTTTCTTTCATATTTTATCTCTTTCCTTTCTTTCAAACTTTTGTTCAGACTTTCATAAGCAATTGTTCTTCACAAAATCCTTTTCTCAAAACCTTTTACAAACCGAGGGTCTTCGTAGAAAAAATCTCTTTATCCATCGAGGTATAGGTAAGGTTTGCATACATCTTATCCTCACTGGACCATATTTTGTGTGGGACTTATTGGATTCGTTTGGTTTGGTTTACTTCTTAGAGCATATCCAACAGATTTTCCAGAGAATAAAAAATCAAAATGTCCAAGAAAACTTTAGATTCATCTCCAACAGCTTCTTCATTTTGAAGATTATAATGTTATTTATATTATTAAAATATTTAATACAATTCATAAAATATTATTTTTCTCTCCTAAATATTTAATTTCAAGGATTCTCATTGGTAGAAAATATTAAAAAATCATTTCTCTTTCCTAAACAATTATTTTTGGAGAAATCTCCAAATTTGGAGATTTTCATCATCTCTCTCCTATTTTCTCTATTTTGAAGAATCTGTTGGAGCAAAAATCTCCAAAATCTTATTTTAAAGAATCTGTTGGAGATGCTCTTAGATTTCTCTTTTCTTTTCATCAACTTATATGGTATAGCTAAGGCAGTAGAAGACCAGCATAAGCAGATTGAATGAGCTTTGATACCTTGCTTTCTCAATTTTGTTTTATAAATCCTTAGAGAAGTTAAAACAATATGATAAGAATCTTCAATTGACAAGAAAATGTTATTGTGGCAGAATTTTAATTATAGGCTGTTTCCAGGTGATGGGCAATGATGATGATGGTTCTCCTGAGGATGAGGATAAGTCCCAACAGGTAAAGCATATTAATAACAATTTTACAATGCAATTGATGAGGCTGTGTCTTGATATCTATAGATATATTGTTCTGTTTTCAATTTTGATTTGTATATATTACAAGTATTCACTTATATTTCACCATTACAAGTTTAAAAAGAAATATGGTCAAGTTCTGATTATCGTGTGTTAGCGTTATCTTTATTATGTGATAGAGCTGGCTACCTTTGTGCAGATTGCCAAAACCCGAGGAGTAACGGTTGGAGTTGCTCCCTCGTTTAGAAGTGCGGAACGCGCCGAGAAACGTAAGGAGGTAATTATCCCACTTTCACTATTTTATTTTACAACATCCCTAGCAATTATGTTGCTTAATTATGGGAAACATCATGTCAATTTATTGATTCGTATGGCGAAATTTGAGTTTGTATGCCAAATGTACCACCATAAATCTCAAATATGCTTCTATCTTGGCCTCTCTGTAAAGCATGCTTAACTTTCATTTTCTTCCAAAAATGCCCCTCCTTTTTAATTACCCCTGTTTGCTTTCCCAGTTATCCACCCAATAAAACAATCTCATATCCCCTCCTTATCCCACCAATCGTCTTAAAAACACATGATTTATCAGACTTGCTCGCAGTGTGCTTAATAAATATCTTGCATTTCTTTTTCTAGTACTATACGAAGCTGGAGCAAAGACACCAAGCTCTAGAAGCAGAGAAGATGGAAGCCAAAATGAGGACCATGGTACGTTACATAATTTTTGACCTGTTGCTATCAAGGTTTTAAAAGGCAGAATTAGGCCTCGAGGCGTTTACCCTCAAAGAGACAAGACATAACCCTCGAGGTGGTCCGAGCCGGAAATATATATACACCAAAATATGTATGTGTATATATATATATATATATATATTATTATTATTATTAAGAGACGTTGTCTTAGTGGTTCTTGATATGGAAAAAGTGAAACTGTGAGATAGGTTGAAAGGGTGTGGAAAATTTGGTTTTTGCTTGGAGGAAGAGGAAGGGTCAAACCACATTTTTTGATTGAGAGAACAAAGTACTAACTTTTATGGGTTTTAAAATATAGAAAGTACGCATTTGGGTGGGGCATTGGGCTTTGACTTATAACGTAAATTGCTTCTAAATAATAACTGTAGGAGGAGGAAGAAGCAGCCTTAAAACAGTTTCGAAAGAACCTGTTTGTTAAAGCACACCCTGTTCCGAGCTTTTACCGTGAAGGGCCTCCACCAAAGTCTGAACCTAAAAAGGTACGTCGTTCCTTGTCATATATTTGTGTGTGGATTGAATTTCAAGTTGTTTTACATGTTTGGATAGCAGATACCCGTGACTCGTGCTAAATCACCAAAGTTAACTCGGAGAAGGAGCTGCGACGATTCATGCCATACGTACACGGAAGATAAGGGCTCGTGCTCACGAACCACAACCAGAAGAGCACGCAGCACTACTCCGAATCCAGTTAGAAACAAGTAATTTGGTAAATTCAAGGATCACTTTAAACCAGATATAGAACTTCATCTTGTGAGTCGACTTTGCTCTTGGATTTACATTCCTTATTCGGGTATATATTTATTATTTATTAATTTTTGATAAATAATTAATTAAACTAGGTTTAACATAGTGATTGGTTATGATGCATACATACATTGTCTAAACACATACATCATAACGCATTATGTCTACATATCATATATCCATGCATACACAATGCACACTACTCCTATGCCACTACATCCTATTGTTTGGTATCTAGACAAACATATAGAACATGATAATGATTCAGATATAATTGGAGATGATATATTAGGTAAAATTACCAAATTAACCTTAATGAGTTTTTTTTTTTTCATATATATTTTGATTGATATGTTTAATTTACTAAATTATAATAAAAGATCATAAAATATGATAAATAAAATTTAAATAATGAATAAAATGTAAAGGGGAGAAATATTTAATGTTTTAGAAGATAATTAGGTTTTATTTTGAAATTATATTGGTAAAATATAGGTTTATTCCACCTTATTATATGGCTTAGGAGTAAGAACGTATCTGTTCCATTTTGTTCTTTTATGTTTCCACATAAAAGTTCTGTCAAATGTGGAACGGTGATTCATATTCTGTTATGTCCAGTATACCAGATGAATCCATAGTGGACGCTTGTGTCTCTTGACAGTTGTGGACGGAGAAACCTAGACCCGATAAAGACTTGTCTGTGACGTGATTAGTTCAGAGCAAGCCGAACCACCAATCATCTTCCAGAGTAGATATTTGAATAGGACATTGAATAAAGACTTATCCATGACGTCATCGACCTGGACCATGCTGCATCACATATCGTTTTTTGAACAATTGAGCCCACTTATTTGTTCTGTTTGTTGGTTGTTATGCGCTTGGCACTAGTGACCATCAATAAGCCTCCTAGGAGTTCTTTTTTAAATATCTAATACGATTAAAAAAGAATTCAGTATTACATTGAGGATTTATACATGAATTAGTTAATTACACTTTGAGAAGAAAATATGTAAAAAGTTAATTGGTCGTTCATCTTTTAGTAGGATAAAATGTACAAAATAGCAACCTACTTTCATAAATTTGATAAGAAGGTAGCGAGATTAATTGTGATCTACCTTATGAAATTTATGAAAGTAGGTTACTATTTCATGATATAATAAAGAATTTTATGAAAGTAGTTTGCTTATTGTTTCTCGTTTTTTTAAGTTTAGTTATGTAAATCCGCTTTTTTAGTCTAGTTATGTAAATCCGCTTTTTCAACAGACCACCTTTTCTTTGATAGATTTAGGTGGCGTTTGTTTTTAATATGTGCTGAAATATGAAGTCTTATTTTACATCTGACTAATACGAGGTTGTGTTGAAGTCTGAAATCTAAATCAATAAGACTGTTTGTTTTTGTAAACTGATAAATGTCTGAATTTGTTTAAATTGTCTATTTTATTCATTTGAAAATTATAATGTTAAATTTATAGATAAATTTAAACAATCTTCACATATTTATTCATCATGATTATGATATTTACATCTTAATTATATAAAAACATTCATTCTAACGACAATAGTCATTAACGATATTTTCACATTTAAATTTTATTAAAATACATCAAGTGAGACAAGTGAGGATCGATTGAGAAAAATGATCGATTAAGTCTAATTGATTGATAAACATCGTTGCTAAGAGCTTGGAGAACAATAAGAAACAAATAAGAGGTTGGTTTACCTCTTATCAGATAAGAGGTGGACAAGACATAAGTATCTCTAAAAAAAACAGTTTGAATGACCTTACCTCTTAATGAATCAGACATAAAAGACTAGTAAGAACTTTTTTTGAAAAAACAAACAAGGCCTTAGTCTTTACCTTGTCAAATCCGTATTAGGTAGGGCTGTATCACAAATTATTTTTCGGGTGACATGTAAAAGCATTTCCAACAACTATGTTAAAATAGAGATCAAAAGTTCTTAACAATTTTTTTGCTTCAATAGTCATCTACTCTCGTACGCTAAAATAGAGAAAAAAACGAGAAAAAATGTAAAAATCTCTAAATTTAAAAAAATCTTTAAATAAAGAGAAAAATTATTATTTTAATACTTTCCCAAGTATTAAAACATAAAAAAATGTAAACTTCAATAGTAATTTTTTGGGAAACAAAACCTGTGAGAGGGGTAAATAAGTAATTTTCTAATAAAATTAATCTACATTTGGCAATTCATATATTTTGATAACTAACAAACAAAACCAAATAGTTTTTTATTATATAATATTTATATACGGCAAATAAAACAAATAAACTCACACACCCTCTTCATATTTGGTAAAGTTTGAACTCTTGGCCTCCTAGGAGACCAAAGACTCACATACTGCTAGGCTAAAAGTCTTTTGGTAACAAACCAAATAGTTCTATGCACTAATGTTTTCAATCAATCCTTAATAAAAATATTATCATGTTCTTAATATGTAAAGAAAGTCTTGAAAATTGAAAAATCGTGAATGAACTCAAGATGTGTGTTGTTCTAGAACTCTAAGAAATCGTTTATCGTCATGTGTACGGTGAACGAATAACCAAATTTGGGTCAAGAATTGCAAGCTCGTCATCGTAAAGTCCATACATGATTTTCGGACGTCCATGTGACTTGGTTTAAGATGCATGTGCGAGAAATATTGGGAAGTTGCAGTTTGAATCATTGCATAATCAGGTTATCATTTTTGTTAAGATTTTCAAATCTAGACGTGTGCAGTGTCTCTATTGCAAACATCCAGACGTTTACTGCGATATGTCTATTTTTGGAATATATTTCAATGTTTATTCATCTTATGAAAAAAAAAAGTCTCGCCTCAACTATTTCTCACGAATTTAAATAAATATTCAGTGTTTTCTGAGCATTCGAACGAATTCACTTGTCCATCATCCGTTTAGCTCAGTTAGTTAGGTTTACAGATTACGAGAGTTGATCATTTGAGAATTTCGTATATTGTAAGAATTATTATTGTAACATATTGTTTCACGTGATCTTTTTTTTTCCATTTAAGGCTGTAATTTAATATATTGTTTAACATATATTTGTTTTACAATGTGTTTATTTTATATGTATTCGGTTCACAAACTAAACAAGTAGAACATCTTTTTAAAAACCCCCCCATCATATTCATATCGAAAATTTCATGGCTCACTTTCATGGGTTTTTTTTTTTTTTTTTTTTGGAAAAGATGTTCTACTTATTTAGTTTTTGGCATTACAAGTTAGCCATGAAATTTACGATGAACTCGATGAAGTGAATGGTATTTATGAATATTTTTATTCGTGAAATAGTGATCTTTTGTATACATGTTTAATTTTTGATATTGTAATTTTTAATAAGCACATTTGATTAAATTTACAATGTTTAAATGATAAAAATACTGAAACTAAAAATACAGTGTTGTAATAGAAATTGGTGATGTTATAATAAAATAATTTTAAAAGTACAAAACTATAATAAGAAATGTCATGTCAGCACTATCGTACATGTGGACAGTCTACATAAACGATGAGGTGGCAAAGAAACATGATATAATAATGGGTAAATTTAATTTAAAATGTTAACCAATGCTATAATGGGTAAACTATGATGCCCTCATAAAAAAAAAACATTTTGAAAGTATATTGTTCTAATAAGAAAAACTGAAAGTATATGCTATAATAAGTAAATTTGTAAAAGTCGGTTGCTATTTCGGGCATTTTTGCCCTTCAATAAAATATTAAAAATGGGGAAATTTTGAATGAAAGTTTTCTCCAAAACAGAGAAAATTAAGAGAGCATGAAGATCTTCAAGTTTGAAAGGGAAACTGACAGAAATTACCATTTCCATGGATCAGTTCACCTCCGAGTCATTCATCTTCCACTTTCACCCAAAAGCCAGTATATTCGCAAGTATCTGGGTTGCAACTTGCGAAGGGGACAAAAACAAATAAAGAGAACAAATCTGAGGTGGGAAGTGAATATTTTGTGGTTCAGGTTGGGGTAAATTTAGAGTTGATTACATTTTTTGTCCATATGGTTGTCACCTACTATCAACTATCGTACCTCTTTTGAACTGATTACAGTTTTGATCACTGTGGTTGTCATTTTGTTTAACTATTGGTCCCTCGGACTAAATCCCGTTAAAAACATTTGTTAATTGAGGGGTATATTCATCTTTTTAATATTTCTCTGGTTTACGATTAGGTAAATATGTTATTGTTATCTTATATCTATACTATATTATAAAACATTTGACAAAAACTCTTAGAAACCATTTTTATGTATGAAGTACTGTTTATTGATGTATATTACTTTAAAATTAATATTACAAGTAAAATATGCGTAAGTACAACTTATTAAATCTTCATGTTTAAATTGTGTAACTAACTGTAGATAAAAATAATCACATAGATGATAAATATCTTTTAAATATTAAAAATCTAAAATATAATCAGGTTAATCATCGAGTTCTAACAAAATATTTTATTATTATCTTTATAAAAAATTATATTGTTAAACCAAAAAAATTGAATTAAAAAAATACACAAAAAAAGAAATATTAAATAGTTAGTTTCATATTAATGTTAATATTTTTTTTTTCAATTTTTTATGATATCTTCATATTTATATTTCATTTAAACATAAAAACATTATTATTTGCTCAAAACCACATAAAACCGTATTATAACATCAACTAAAAAAAATGAAACATTAAAATCGAGATGTATCTCACAGCATTGTGCGAGTACTCTTCTGATTATAAAATATTTGACAAAAACTCTTCAAAACCATTTTTATGCATGAAATATTGTGTATTAATGCATATTGTTTTAAAAAATTAAGATTACAAGTAAATTGTGCGTAAATACAATTTATTAAAGCTTCATTTTTGAATTCATAATAACTAACTGCAGACAAATATAATCAAATATAAGATAAACATCTCATTTTAAATATAAAAAATAATTAAGATAATGATTGAGTTCTAACATAATCATTATCCTTATAAAAAATTTATTGTTTAACCAAAAATAATTCACTATTCGATCTTAAGTAAACTATAATAAAAAATTGAACCAAATAAATTGTATATAAAAATGAATTTATTTAAATAATTAATTTAATATTTATATCAATATTTTTT